GATGTGGTCTCCTTCCCATATATAAGTATATAAGAAGCAGCTTTGGGAATGGTCTCTAGCTTATGGCACGCTTGAACCCTGCATATAGCCAAGTTGTTGTTCAGCAGCCTGCCATGCTCTGCTGACCTTGGGACTTTCAATGGACTCGAATCAATGCCCTGATGTATTGTTTGGTAACATTGGGACTGTGCCTTTTCACTTGTCAACCTTGGGTTTGTCAGCCTCAGCAGACAGCAGCTGTCTAAGTGAAGAGATGCCTCCAGTTTCAGTGGGTTGGGAGCCGGAGGCAGAACTGAAGCCCAAGGTGGAAGGGCTTTCACCCAGCCCCTAGAGCATGGCACTTTGAACTCAGACTTAAAGCCTCCAAATTGTAAGAATCAACTCCTGTTTGTTGAAGCCATCCCATTTGTGGTATACTCCTGTCAGAGCAGCACTGGGTAACTGAAACAGAATATGGTACTGAGGGTGGGGTGCTGCTCTGACAAATACCTAAAATGTGGAAACAGGAGTGGGGTGCATCCTTGACCCAAGATCCCTGTGCTGAGACACTGGCAGAGAGACCAGCAACCAGCATGAGACAGAGACAGCCTTACCAGCCCACAGAGGAGAAAGCTAGATGCCTTTGGGTAGGTAGCTTCCTGGTGGAGTGGGTTGCCTTTAGGCATTAATTGGTAGAAGAGACTGGCATGAAATGGAGTAGCAGGCTGGCCGGCCCATGGAGCAAGAAAGCTAAGTGCTTTTCGGAGAGGAAGATTTCTAGCAGAGTGGGTTGCCTTCGGCAATAATCAGCAGAAATGGAGAGAGCAAGGAAACAGGAAGCAGAGCTGCCTCAGCCTCAAGAGTAGGACCATGGCCTTTGGAGGTGGAACCACCACAGCTCCCTAGGTTTCAAAGAGCCAGGCCTTCACCAACTTGGTTCTGGAGTGTGGGAGTGCTCGCTCATGTGAGCCAGTGGGATGGAGCCATAGCTGCTGCCCAAGAGTGAGGGGGCGGGGCTGCCATGCCCAAGAGGGAGAGGAACGGGCCTGCCAGGCCAAGGGGGTGAGGTCACCACTCAGAGGAACAAGGAGACTGGAGCCACCCAGTGGAGGAGATCTGTATAGGTGCCAAGTTGACAAGGGGTGGAATTGTGGTGGTTAAGGTTGTGTGTCAACTTGGCTGGGCCTGTGGCTGTGCAGCTGGTGGTAGTTATTCCTCATGATGAGACTGGCAGTCTCCATGGTGGGATCTGCCATGAGCATCTGGGTAGCTGCTTTAGGGATGTAGTCCGCTTCCTGTATATAAGTACATAAGAAGCAGCTTTGGGAATGGTCTCTAGCTTATGGCATGCTTGAACCCTGCATATAACTGAGTTGTTGTTCAGCAGCCTGCCATGCTCTCCCAACCTTGGAACTTTCAATGGACTTGAGTCAATGGCCTGCCGTATTGTTTGGTAACATTGGGACTGTGCCTTTTCACTTGTCAACCTTGGGTTTGTCAGCGTCAGCAGCCAGCAGCTGCCTAAGTGAAGAAAAGCCCTCCCAGTGGGCTGGGAGCAGGAGGCAGAGCTGAAGCCCAAGCTGAGATGCTTTCACCTGGCCTCTAGAGCCTGGCACTTTGAACTCAGACTTAAAGCCTCCAAATTGTAAGAATAAACTCCTGTTTGTTAAAGCCATCCCATTTGTAGTATATTCCTGCTAGTGTGGCACTGGGTAACCAAAACAGTGACCTTATGCACAACAGAATGAAACCTTGCCTGGTTCTGTGCAACCCTCACAATTGTTGGTATACTTGAGCCCATTGCAGCTATTGTGTCAATTCATCTGATGAAGGGTTTTCCTTGTTTTCTATGACACTCTCTTTTATATAGCTAGACAGTTGTTCATGAGTTGGAATCAACTCAATAGCAGTGGGTTAGACAGTTGTGTGGTGCTGAGTTGATTTTGATTGACAGTGACTTGATATGACAGAGTAGAACTGCCCCATAGGGTTTCCTAGGCTGCAATTGTTATGGAGCATATCACCAGACCAGGTCTTTTCTCCTGCAGAGCTCCTGGTTCAAACTGCTGACCTTCCAGTTAGCAGCCAAGCTTCATGATTGCATCACCAGGCCTTCTTAGCTAGCCAGTAACCTATTGCCATCAAGTCAGTTCTGATTCATAGTGACCCTATACGACAGAGTAGATCCATCCCATAGGGTTTCCAAGGCTGTCTTTTTTAATGGAAGCCTCATCTTTCTCCTGCAGAGTGGCTGATGGTTTTGAACCATGGACTTTTCAGTTAGCAGCCAAGCACTTAACCACTGTGCCACCATTTCTTCTTAGCTAAAATTAGTGGTACAGAATTGAATAATTTCTCAAGGAAATGGACATATAAACAAGGAGTTAGCATTTATCATGATACATTTTACTAAGTGTATAGATACAGAAGAAGGGTAGCTCAGAAGAACCATTAACAATGACTGGAGTGGGAAGAGAAAAGGGAAAGGCATTGCCCAGATTCTGGTTAAGATGAATCTTGTGCTGCTAAAATGAAAAGGTTATATGGTTGCTTAATCCTTAAGATGGCACTATAAACTCATAATTCCTTTATAGAGAAATATATAAAAATAGCTGAGATTTATACAAAATATTAACTCAATCCTTATAATATAAACTAAGATGATTTTTGGGTGTCAGACACTGTTCTAAGTGCTCATATATATGTATTTTTACCATTTAATCTTTACAACCTTATGAGGAAGGTACAAGCATTTGCTCCATTTAACAGAGGAGGAAAAAAAGAGTGGAGGATGTCAGTGACTTGCCCTCAGTCACATAGCTTGTAAGTAGTAGGGCTGGGATTTGAACTGAGACATCCTGAATCCAGAAATGGTGCCCCTAATCACTACGCTGTATTCTCCTCTTTCTGGTAACCTACACGCTGAAAATGCAGCAGCATTAGAATAACCAGTCACAGAAACTCATTCTGGTTAAATCACATAAGAAAATATGTCCTCAGCACAGGAATGAAATCTCAAGAAGCCCAGGTCATAGTTCTCAGAGAGTGACAGAAGACATCAGGGAATCTGGAACAATACCTTCTTAAGTTTCAGTGGTTTCAACTTCAGTGCCGGCTCTCATGCCTTTCTGTAGACTGCAGATAGGAGGCTGCCCCACCCTCTCAGGCTATATGCCACTTCTTGGCCCTCCTGGTAAGGAGTTCTGGTGGTGCAGTGTGTAAAGCAATTGGCTGTAATCAGAAGGTGGGTGGTTCAAACTTATCAGCTGCTCTGCAGGAGGAAGATGGGGCAATCTACTTCCATAAAGATTTACAGCCTTGGAAACCCAATGGAGTTCACTACGAGTCAGAATTGACTCATTGGTTGGTCCTCTCGGTAGCACTTTGGGCATATGACCTCATTGTACTTTGCCAAACCAGATGCTGTTGAGTGGGCCCTGACTCGTGCAGCCTCATGTGTGTCAGAGTAGAATTGTGCTCCATAGGATTTTCAATGACTGGTTTTCTGGAACCAGATTGCCAGGTGTCTCTGGGTGGACTTGAACTTCCAGTCTTCCAGTTAGCAGCTGAGTGCTTCACTGTTTGCACCAAACACAGTCTCCAGTTGAATGTTTTGTTTTTCCTAGTTAATATGACATTCAGAGGGGTGTAATACTCTTTAGTGATTAACTTATGATTTTTTTCATACAGTTTAGTGAAAAAAACCTTCCAACTCCATGAGAACACAATTTTTTAGTTGCATAAAACAGTTAAGAGGCATGAGCTTTCAGGGGACAACAAGCTCAACTGGTATAACATACTACACAAAAACATTATTCTACATCCTACTTTGATGAGTAGTAACCAGGGTCTTGAAAGCTTGCAAACAGCTGTCTAGATGCAACAATGGGTCTCTCTTCCTCCAGAGCAAAGAAGAATGAAGAAAACTGAAGACACATGGAAACAATTAATCCAAGGGACTGGTAGACCATGTGATCCTCAGCCTGTATGACCATGATACCACAAGAACTAGATGGAGCCCAGCTACCACTGTCAACCACTTAGAAAGGGATCAGTATAAGAGATCCTGAATAGAGTAAGGAAAAATGTGGAACAAAATTCAACAACAACAACAACAATAATAATAATAAAAGACCAGGTTTACTGGTCTGATAGAGCCTGGTGAGACTTCTGAGACTATGGCCTGTAGTTACCCTTCAGTCTGGAACTGAACTCACTCCTGTGGCTTCCAGCCAAAAATAGACAGGTATATGTGGTGAACATTTACATCAAATACATATACTCCTTAGAGCATCAAGATCAGTCACAGGAGAACAGAAGGGCAGTATTTGCACAGGGAGATAGCTGGTAGGGAGTAGGGAGTGAATGGAGGGAAGGATACAGGGAAGAGTTAACTACAGGGGGGAAGTGGGAAGAGAGCTATTACATTGTGGGGAATTGCAGTCGGTGTCATGAAACAAAATGTGTATGAAATGCTGTATAGAAAATGAATTTGCTCTGTAAACTTTCACCCAAAACACAAAATTTTTTTAAAAAAGAGGCATGAGCTTTGGGGTTAGAGGGACCTGATTCTATGCTCCCCCACTTAACACTGTGGAAGCTGCAGCAATTTCTTCACTATCAGTGCCTTGGTTTCCTTATCTGTAAAAAGGGATAATACTAACTCCATCTTGGGAAATGTGAGGATTCAATTCATACGTAAGTATTTGTTGGGCATCTACTAGATACTAGACACTCTTCTGGGTGCTGGTAATACAAAAGTAAACAAAATAGACAAGAATCCTTGCCCTTATGGAATTTATGTTCTAGGAGATAACATTTGGGGAAAATTGAGAGTGTTTGTATGAAATAAAGCACTCTTTAAAAATGATTTGTTTATCATTGTATATAGTACTTATATGTCACTAATAAAAGGGCTCAAGAAGCATTTAATTAGGCATTCAAATTAGAATCTGCACTTACGTGGTAAAGATATTCTCGTAAAGAAAAATAACATAGAAATGAGTTGATTGCTAGGGAAGAGGATTTAAAATTTCCCTTTATTAGGTAATTACATAATGTCGTAAGAGCTGTTTTGGTTCACAAAAATGTACATTCAATTTTCTAAACATGTAAATAGAAAGTAGTAGTTTAGATACCTGTTTGAATTCATATTTCTCTAAACCTTACCAAAACATTTATTGAAAATATCATTTAACATTTTCCTAAAAGTCACTGGATGTGAATACATAAACACTTTCAAGCTTGCGCTACAAAAAGAATGCAATTTCTATCCATGTGTCCATAGTGACTCTCAAAAGTGGTTCAAATGGGAAAAAAGAAGGTAGCACTGCCCTGTAATGCAGCATTAATACTGACTTACTCTGGGATATTCAAGAAAGATCCTTTATTATCACAAATAGTAAAAATATTAAACATTAATATTCCCTTTCAATGAAAAACTGTAGAAAATAAGACTATTTTCTCAAACTGACTTGTTATACCATGAGAAACTGCATTCAATCTGCAGATATTTCCAACACCTCACATTATTGACTTTAAAATTACTTATGCCACTTGAAATTCAAAAGGAAACCCTCAAGAATTATTCTCCTCCCAATACATTCACTGAATGCAGACTTGAGTAAGTACCTGTCATTTTGATTGTGCCCTCTATTTGCGTACTTTAAACTGACTACGATATAGTACGGTTGTATTTTTAACTGGTACTCACATTAAGATGAATGATCTATGCAAAACCAGCAGCCTGTACTTCTAGTAACAGTTGTCATATGTAAATAAAATAAAAAGCCCTGAGTCAGTATTTTTTGCAAAAGTAATGAAGAAGAGTTCTCCAAATAATTTTTTTTAACTTATGAAATTGTTAAGACTGTCTAGTATTCATTTGTTTTGTTCTCATTCTGATCGAAGTGAGGTACAGCTTTTGTTTACTGAGTTCATCCAATTCAGATCATTTCTTAATACTCAATTTCATTTAAGTCCTCAGAATATCCTGATGATTGTTGAGTTGTATCTTCTATTTCTGTTAGGAAAGACAAAGAGATGATAATAGTTTTTTTCTTTTTTTATTATAGAAAAATACATAATTTGCATTCTTATAGTCAAGACTGCAAAATCCATTTTCAGTCAAGCTTATGTAATTAGGAATAATACATCACCTGTGCAGGGTCCTGCCTGAAATTTAATATCATCAATGGCAATATCACTTCTTATTGATACTCCACGAATGGCTTCAAAAATTATCTGAAAAATAATTAAGTTCAAATTAGAAATACAGGCATCCTGATAAACCAATGACAATTAGGGACAGATCGAACATTTGTGGGCTTCGAAGTTTAGATGATTCTTGGAGTTCCCTTTAAGGAAAGAATACAAAATTACAAATTCAAACTTAGGTACAGAAGTTAATATTAGATTAGAATTTAAAAATTTACAGTGTATTATCCGAGCTTTGGAGAGTCAAGTCTCTTTCTTCCAATATCTCTTTAGGCAGTTTCCCAGAAATGCTTACCTACAAATGCTGGCTGGACGTGATTTACCCTCCCATCTAGAACACTCTCCTCCCAGCATCTCCCAGCACTGAAAGTACCCATGAATGTGTTGTTGTTGTTGTGTGCTATCGAGTGGGACCCGACTCATAGCGACCCTTCCTTGGGTTACCGAGGCAGTATCACTATGGAAGTAGATTGCCCAGTCTTCCTTCCAAGAAGTGGCTGGTGGGTTTGAATCGCCAGCCTTCTGGTTAGCAGTCAAGTGCCTTAGGCACTATGCTACCAGAGTTCCATGAATGTGAGAGGCCCAGAAGCTTAAGGTTCCTTGAAAACAAAAACAAGCCAGTTGCAGTGGAATTGATTCTGACTCATGGTGACTCATGTGAGTCAGAGTAGAACTGTGCTCCATAGAATTTTCAATGGCTGGTTTTTTTTGAAGTATCTCCAGGACTTTCTTCTGAGTTGTCTCTGGATGGAACGGAACCTCCAACCTTTAGATTAGCAACAAGCACTTAACAATTTTCACCTCTCAGTAATTTCAAGTTTCCTTGAGCTTCTGATAAATCTTCCCGATACTGGTACTAGGTAAAGGAATTTAATATGATTGATGATACTCATATATGAATAGCAAAGCATAATAATTAAATTTATCAAACAGACTGGTTCACTCATCACGTTAAATATGGTAACATCAAAGACAAAGCCCAGGGAGAAGAGGGAATTGGTCTTGACTTTAGGTTCTGAGAGGAATATTAAGGTTCTTGGAAAAATAGATTGCTTGGCTAGTTCTACAGGCTCCCCAACAATGGTTAGTGAACCACTGAATACTTTAGGAGGTCTGTGGGTAATGAAAATTGTCCAGAAGGCCCATTTGCTCTACTTATTTTATGAGCAAATGACTCCCAATTGGACTAGTTGATGATTTAAATTAAATTAAGGAATACAAACTGGACAATTAACAAATGTATGAAACTATCATGAAATTAATGACTTGAAGAAACTTTAATGGCAGACATGTGGCAAAATAACTTTAATCAAAATTCTAAGGATAAAGCCTAAACAAGAATCCAAATAAATGGTAGGAAGAGTAGAAAATGTCCTAGATAGGAGGACAGATGAATAAAGCTAAGCATTTTGGTCTTCAGGACAACGAGAAAATCTTTTTTCTTTTTTTTTTTACCTCCAAGACTGCAATAGAAAGTGTAATAGACAAATTAGCTGATGGAATTCTATTCTGAATAGTCTGTGGTAGAGCCAAGCACTTGATGCCATACCACTGTCTCCTCTGAGTTCCTTTAGTACTTCAGTGAGAACAATTTTATGGTACTATGACTTCCCTCTTGTATTACTGATCCTTCGTAGGATCTCCTCTCTTACTACACGGACCGTATGATTCATCTGACTTATCTTTGTGTCCAAGGACCACCCAATGTATCATGTAGTAGGTGCTGAACAAAGACTTGTTTATTTAGAGAATAAATATAATAAATCCATTGATGTCTAGTTGATTCTGACTCATAGTGATCCTATTGGACAGGATATAACTGTCCCTTAGGGTTTGGAAGGCTGTAAATCTTTATGGACATAGACTGCCTCATCCTTCTCCCACAGAGTATCTGGTGGGATTGAACTGCCAAACTTTCAGTGTGAGGCTGACTGCTTAACCATTGTACCACCAGGACTTCTTAAACTCATAGTGACCCTATAGGACAGAGTAGAACTGCCCCAAGAGTTTCCAAGGATGTGCATCTTTATCAAAGCAGACTGCCACATCTTTCTCCCACAGAGTCAGTAATGCAGCCAAATACTTAACTACTGCACCACCAGGGCTCCTTATATACAATAAACATAGGACTACATAAAAGAATATATGTCCTTTGTTTCCAAACTACATTTTGAAGCAATCTGGAGTCCCCAAGTGAATTCACAGGGGTGCTGCAGAATATTTTAAATTTCAAGGAGAACAGCAGTTGGGACGGACTACACAATAAACAAGGTAAGCACAGGTTTACCTGCATTTATTTACTAATCTGTAGTGAACAATTTCACATGGGTTTCACCACATCTTTGATATGATCTTTGATGTAGTGAAAAACATGTAGAAGTGTTCACTACAGATTAGTAAGTAAGCAAAAGTAATCCCATGCTTACCTTTTTTATTTGGTAATCTTATACTGATAGCCATACTCAACATCTGGCAGATACTGTATGAACTACTAGCTTGACGTCATTCAGTTTCAACATTAGATTGCCCTACATTCCTTTTGATGACGTCATATCTTATAAGACTGGTTTCTTTGGTAGTTACTGTGATAAAAAAAGCACATGTGAAAATTTATGTGGAATATGAAATGAAGGTGTAGTGTCCAATATGATTCCAAGGTTGAGATGTTGTGTGGTGCCCAAAAGGTATATACATTCTGTTAATAAATTTATTATGGTTATTTAAATGAAATAAAAATATCTTTTTTTCTTTTAATTTAAGAGTATTGTTTTTTAAATGGCTACTAAGTTGTTAGGACATAAATACTAATGAAGTTATTTGAATATGACTTTTTAATGAATGGAACTGTTAGGTATCTCTTTTAGTATAGAAGCACTAGAAAAAAAAATTATTGAGATGAGAGCCCTATGAACCAAGAATGTTTGAAGAATTGGGTGTATTACGGCCTTAGCTGAGAACCCAGCACATAGTGATTCTTAATAAATATTAGTCATTATTATTAACAATATGAATAATGTGAACATTTCATGGAGATGATAACTTGTCTAATACTTTCTTTCAATGGCATCAAAATATAAGAAACCAAAGAGAACAACATCTGAAAGCAGAAGAGGAAAGAAGCAGGGAATCCAAAGGAAATAGAATGATTTTTGTGTTTTTGATCAATAGTGAGTCAGGTTCTGTGGCACTTTAATTCATCTCTAGAAAGGAGCATGATTAAATTTTTGCCATTTGATGCATTTCTGTTACATGGATAATCTGATGATTGGAATGTCCTCAGGAAGCCACTCACAGATTTTCCCCATATGATCAATCTCAAATGGCAAGTACAGTAGTACTACAATACTCTAAAAAGCCCTTACACCCCACTCCTCATCCACTCCACACACTCTGATGATGTCTACATTTAATTTTCTAGCTCCTTTCCCTTCCCAGAACTGTAGGCTCATATCCTACTCTGTATTTGACATACTTAATTGTATGTTAGTAGACATCAAGATTTTAGCATGCCCCAAAACAACCTGTTAATTTTCCTCCTATATGCACTGCCCTCACATCTCCATATCTGCTCTGCCTGAAGTTAACCCCATTCTAACAGATGCTGTGGCCAAAAATTTTGGAATTATCTTTAAATTTTTATTGTGATTTAGGTGAAAGTTTGCAGAGAAACAATTCATATATGTTTTGATTCAAAACATTGATTGCAATCCCCATAAAGTAATAGCATTCTTCAGATATGCTCCCTGTGTTTACCAGTTCCATTTGTTCTTCTTTCCTATCCCTTCCTGCCTCTGAACCTTATCCCTGGCAAATGCTGCCCTTTTGATCTCACATGATTGATCTAAGAAGTGCATACCTCCTTGGTGATATTGCTCACTTATAGACCTGTTTATTGTTTGGCTAAAAGTTGAGCCACAGGGGTGAGTTTGGTTCCAGGCTTGAAGGGTGACCATGGGGAGTTCCACCAGTCTCTAGCAGACCAGTAAGCCTGGTCTCTCTCTCTCTCTTTTTTTTTTTT